AATATTTATGAACTATGTCATAGCATTGTTTTTCATAGAGACCATTTCTTGTCCCTCCAAGTACATGATTTATCATTTTAGAGTGTAATTAAATTATGCTTTCATTGGCTATTTTAAGGGACACCTAAAAGGATATAAAACTAAAAGTCAAGGTATCTGAATTACCCACTTAAGCTTGCTAAATAAGGCCCCTTTCCTGCACCTCCCTAGGCAACAAATCCTAAGCACACATTTCTGCTCCATGAGTCATTGCTCTTTAGATCACATTCTCCGAGCGAGAGCAGAGCAATCGATCTCTCTCATAAGGTGGTAGACGTTCTGGAAACTGATTAGTCATTAACCTGTTCTCACTCCTTCCAGTGCTCATGGAAGGAATTCCAGCATCTCAGAGGACTTTGAAAAAAGCACTAGTAACAAACTTTATAATTTTGCATTTCGTGGAAGGTCTGTTCCAAAACACTTGTGCCATCTTCTCACAAATTCAGAACCATAAATCCAAATAAGTCACCTGAAATCAGATTTTAAAGACGATTCTTTGAAATATTTAGTCCAATTTTGTCATGAGAAATAATGTATCAAATAAGCCAAGCAAGTAGGATCTTTCAGAGACATGGAGAGATCATCCCATACTGGACGGGAAAGAAACTGAATATATTGTCACATTCAGCAACTTTTTTCTGATGCTCTAAAACCTGAACTGTAAAAGAGTTCCTTAGGGAGGTGAAAGAGTTAATGAGAGTTCTAGGAGCCGTGAGTTGGTCTTGGTTGTGTGGTTTCTGTATTCACAGACTCTGGTTCAATAAAAATGTAAACGTTATCTGGGTACACAAACCATATTTCATGGCGATAATGAATAATAAAGTATGAACAGACATTCTGTTCATACTTTATTATATAAATTTTAGTGATGTATTTGCCAGAGAGGAAAACGAATACACAGGGAAATACTCTGTGCTCAGGTCCACAATATGCTCCGGGTTGGCACGTGTGTCTGTCCTTGGCACAGTTCGCTTGCCCGCCTTTATTCAATCAATCTCAGCACTGTGACATTGGGAGGAGCACAACAGCATCCTTATTGATTGAGCTAATCTAACTGGATTTGGAATAGGAACTAGAAGATGGGTTATTTTTAAAGCAAAAGCCATTGATTCAAAAACCTGTCCTGTAACATGATGACTTAACAGATTTATAATCATGCAGGTATGTCATAGTGAGTGTGAAAAATGACCACACTAGGAAGGTGGAGGTGGCCTGCATTGCCCAGGCCAGGCGGAGGAGCCGGCCTGCTTGTCCTCAAGCCTGTGCCCCCCCCAGGCGCTGCACGCAGGCAGAGATGGAGCACTGTTCAGTGTCACCAGCCAGCAGTATCGACTCTCTGATTTGCAGGACTCAGGAAAAAATGAAACTGTGTGACTCCTGCTTCAAAAATTATCGAGAATTTGAAGATGGTGACAGCAGAATCGTAAACCAAGTGTGGGTCCTGTGCAACAGCACAAGTCACAGGCCCCTAACACCTGCCCTGAGGGCCAGGTTCCGAGGATGGAGGGCTGCCCTCTAGTGTTGCAGGAGAAATGAATTCTTCCCAATGCTGCTGCTTTGCTTTTACTCCCTCAGGCCCAGTTAGAGCTTGCACAGTTGGTTTCTTTGTGCATTTGGTCACGAATAAACTGACATGGGGTAAACTTATGCGAGAAGGCCTCTGCTCTCTGTGCCTTCCTCCTGGCATAGCAGCCCTGCTACCAAAAGGTGCTGAGATGAACGGGGACTCCTGGGGCGCCCTTTAGTTGCATGCGTCTGTATTCCATGCTCCTGGCTTTGAACTAAAGAGCATTTTTCATTCCACTTCATGCTGCATTTGGGTTATTATTTTGTTTTTTTTTTTCTTTCAAAATAGAAACAGTTGTGGACCTTTTAAAAGGCTTACTTGGTGCAATTGATTCTAAAATGCTGATAGAATAACTATAATGATTTTATTGGCTCACACTTTATTTTGTATTAAACATAAACTGACAGAGGTCCCCATAAAAATAAGCACCAGACAAAATAATCATGAAAACAAAACAAAAAGCTCAACAAACCCCAGGGAAGCCTGACAAATCCTTGATCTTTATATTATCTTTCTTCCACCACTTTTCAAAGTACAGTGGAAATTCCTAAAAGGGTCCCAGGTCTGGTCTGCTTTTTCCTGAACATCTGGCACACGGTAGGCACAAAATAAATATTTGTTGAATGAGTGATAAAAAAAGTCATAAGGGTCAAGGGTAGAATCTCTTTAGTTATATTTGCCGTGGTATTTTACAAAATCTCCTAAAAGTCTTATAACAACCCCCTCTACCATATGGAGAATACATATGGCATAGATACTGGTTGAAAAGAAAGAGAAAATCATTGATTAAACATCTACCTTTCCCTCACAAGTCTTTCAGTTCTTTTTCCCATAAACCTAAATTACGGATTATTTACTTTTTCTTTCTTCTTGAGTGGGTGAAGGCAGACGTTTATCAATACAAGGGGTGAAAAAGCAGCAAGAATTGGAGAGAAGATGATAATTAGTATGTTGCTCCAACAGGAAAAGACTGGAAATGCACAACTCTGTCCAACCCAGAAAATTCTTGGGCAGCGCCGGAGAGAGAGAATGCACAGAAGAGAAGCTGCGTCTGACTTCCCACTCAGCCGTGCTGCCTTAGGAGGGCTCAGGTTCTGGGTATTTGCAAGCCCCATTCATCAGTGCTGTCATTGCAGCTTACTCTCGGAAGCACCAAAACCCTAAAATCCCGGGTCTAAAAGAACGAACCCAGCCCAATGGGTGGGTTGGAACCCACGGGAAAGGCTGAGGTTGGAATTACCCAGGTTACAGTCTCCAGCCAGGGTGGTGATACAGGGGAGGGCAGACAAGACCAGGCGGGGGCGGCAGACAACTAACCCGACACACAAGAGAGTTTAATTGTCCTGCTGGGGCGACAGGGTATCCGCCCAGGAGCCAACAGGAGACGTGCAGAGGGGAACTGTTCCCACTCGTTGCCTCCTCCCATTTGTTGGCCCCTCCAGGTCTCCGGCGGGACGGCAGGCCCAGGATCAGGTGAATCAGGACCCCCTGCCAAGGATCCAGCCTCCGGGACACGCCCCAGAGCCCAGCTCCCGCACCCCAGCCCAGCCAAGATCTCCTGCAGAGGGTGGCAGACCTGTGACTTTCTCTGGCCCCTACCCTCTGCGCAGAGCAGGCATTAACTCCTGCTAAAAATAAAACCCATGCAAAGCTCCCCTCTCCCTGTGTGGTCTGGGTCCCCGTCTCCCTGCATGGCCTGGGTCCTACAGTCACGGGGCACGCAGCTACCCAGCTCACATGTCCCTGCCCAGGAGGGGGATAGGACCGCCCTGGCGGGCTGCAGGGCAGCTGGGGAAGGTTTCCGAGGTGTTAGGCGATGCCAGGGCTCGGAGTCCTGAGTGCTGGTCGTCTACTGGAAGAGACAACAAGTGCCTAGGAAGGACTCCCTGGGCCGTTTGCTAGGGTCGTGTGAGAAGAGAGGGTCTCTGTGCCTCGGATTCCTTAGGCTTCTGGAGGAGGTGGGATTTGCGGGTCTTTGGGCCAGAAAACACTCTAATACGAGGAAACTTCCAGAAGGGTGGGCTTCTTTGGAGAACGCCGATGAGATCCCCTGTCCCCACGGCAAAACCTAGCGTCTGGACTCCCAGGTGTGTCGGGAGGGGACACTGCCCCCGCGCGCGTCTGCCCCCATGCGGCTCCAGCCGCGTCTCTGCCGCCTCCCGTACCCGGTTCCCAAAGGTGACATGGAGGGCGAGAATCCCAGAGGCGCTCCCCCCCCCCGCCCTGCGTCCAGCCACACTCTCCCGGTGCGCCCTCGCTGCCATCCGCGCCAGGCAGAACGGGCTCGGGGGCTCGGCGGGGAACATGGCGGGCCAGGGCGCCCCCTAAACCTCCGATCCGGAAAACCTTGGCCCATTGGGCATCCCCAAAGTGAGACTTAAGCTGAAAGTGCAGGGCGCGAGTGAGGCTGCCTGCCCGAGAACGCGCCGGGGTACAGCCTTCAGTCACACCCGCCTCACTCCTCCATTGCGCATTTGGGGCTGTTTTCTGCCAAGGGGACTCCTCGCGTCCCAGCGCCTTTCCGCCCCCTGCAGGGAAGTCTCCCTGCCCTGTGTGACAGTGAGAGGAGCGCGGGAATCCCCCCTTTGCTGAGCAGAGATGAAGAGAGTGGGAAACCCCTACCCACTAATGGGCTGGGGGGGGGGTAGGAGAACCCCCTCTTCGCGCTCCCAGATAGTGAAAAGGAGGAATTCCCTGCCGTCCTGAGTACCTCCCTGCTCAGCTCTCAGATAGAGAAGAAGAGTGTGGGAGCACCCCACCCCCCCGCAACCCAGTAAAAGGTTGGGGGGACTGCAGGGTGGGATTGCGCCCCTTGGCCGCGCTTTGAGCTAGTGGAGAGGAGGTTAGACGCCCCCGCAGTCCTCTGACCTAGGTGGCAAGTGTATGAGTGTGGGGGCGCAGAGAGGACATCCCCCCCCCGCCCATGGCTGTGCTCTGAGGGACCTCTCTGTGGCTGAGTGTGGGAGGGCGGAAGAAGGGGACGTCCTGGGTGGGGCGCGGCCGGTGCCCCCCCCTCCCCGCGCCCTCCTCTGGATCCGCCAGTCCCTGGCCTCCCGCGGCGCGTGGCCCGGCCGTCGGGGGGCGGCGGTCGGCGGAGGCCGGGCTGCGCGGCGCAGGGTGGGGGGAGAGGCGGGCCGAGGGCCCCCAGTCGCACCCGCCCCCTCCCGCGCCGTGGCGGCCGCGCCGGCGCCTGGAGCTGCCCCCGAGGCCGCCGCCCGGCCCCCGCCCGCGCGTCAGCGCGCCCAGCCCGGGGCGCGGAGCTCCGCCCGCGCCGGAGGCCCCTGCGCGCAGCTCGGAGCGCGGGCAGCCGGGCCGGCCGAGGCGGCGCGGGGGTGGGACGCGGGCGGCGCACCCGGACCGGGCGCGCTCGGCGGGCGCCGCGCGAGCCGCCCCGATGTGGCAGGAGGCGATGCGGCGCCGCCGCTACCTGCGGGACCGCGCCGAGGCGGCGGCGGCGGCAGCGGCGGGCGGCGGCGACGGGCTGCAGCGGTCCCGGGACTGGCTCTATGAGTCCTACTACTGCATGAGCCAGCAGCACCCGCTCATCGTCTTCCTGCTGCTCATCGTCATGGGCGCCTGCCTCGCCCTGCTCGCCGTCTTCTTCGCGCTCCGGCTGGTGAGTGGCCCCCCTGCGGGATGGACCCCGCGCATTCCCAGTGCCCGAAAGGAGAGGGACCTAGCCCGCCGAGCCGCGTCCTGTCGAGGGCTGCCCCTCGGCCCGCAGCTCCCTGCCCCTCCTGCCGGCCCGCAGCCGGTCTGGCTCGGGCAAGGGCTCCGGGCAAGAGAAAAGTTTCCTTGGAAGGTTCTAACCAAAATAAAGTTGCCAGGGTGTCCACCAGGTGGACGGACAGGGCGTGTGGTTTTTCCATCTCAGCGCATCCGCTGGCAAACTCCGCTGCGCTTTGCCCCCGCGCTGCTGCCTGCAACATCCGCCCGAATGGGTCTCAATCCGAGTCAACCAGCGGGTTCTTGGCGAGGCCACTGCACGGCCCCTGAGCTGGCGTTTTAGTTTGGATTGGACGTTATCTAACGTTGTAAAAAACCTGCCTTGGGAAAGTGGTTAATAGCGAGGAAAATGAAAATAAGTATATTATTATACATCTTTGCCTTTAAATCTGTACGTATTTAGTGCCATAGACAGAAGGAGATGGGGTGTTGACCTGTTGTGAATCTTCATCCTCTGAGACCCTAAGGAACAAGCATCCGTGGACCATTGCTTTCCTGCTTCTAGAGAGGCAGTTAATCGTGTTGACTGTTTCGTACAGGTTGTTAAAGTGGATTTCATTACTAGAAGCATAATGCAACTCAACAGCTGATGTCAATTTTGCCAATTTATATTTTTCAAGCAGAAATCCTTGGCTGGCTCCCTTGAGCGGTGAGGGGAAATCTGTAGATGGCAGTAAACTTCCTGTTACTGATCATTCTGTTTGTGTGGTTCAAACTTTTACACCGCCTGCGACATGTGTGTGCAGATTTTGTGCCAGGCATGGATTATCCAGTGAGATATTTTTGATCAGTGGTTCATCTGGGGAAGTCTCCAGTGAATGACATTTTTGTAGCTTTTAGAATATAAATAGGCACCTATATTCGTGTCCACTGAGCAAATAAGTGGATGTTTGCTTATATTCCCCCAAGTGTGCAAAATAGCTGTCCTTGGTATTTGGCAATTTGGTTCTGTTATCTTGAGCCAGATGGTGCTCAAATGTTATGCATGAGAAAACTTGTTATCATCATGGGGTTCTTTAAAAAGTAAAGTTTTCTTTTCCCCCACGCCGCTGGAGAGGTGCTGTCTTATGATGGAATTCAGTGAGGGAAGAATGAAAAATAGAATGTAGGAGACCATGGTGCCACAGATCGTAAACTGGTTCTTATTCTATAAAACATAGAGCAGAGAGCACCTTTGGATCCTGTATTCTGGGTGTGGGTTCAGGGCAGTCCTCCCCCCCACCCCGTAACCAGCCTCCACTGCTCCCTGAGGTGGCATCTTTATCTGTCTTTGCCACTTTTAGGACCGAAAAGGACTCAGAGACTTCTGCTCAGTCTCATTGGCAAGCAGGATCTCTCAAAGCATCTGCTTTTCGTTCCTGTACTTGCAGGGAAGAAAACACGTCCGTTTTCCTCTGGAAATCTGTTCTGCCAGGACACTACTGCTTGTGATTCTGTTGAATCTGTAATTCAAACCCGTTCTGGCTTGTTCTCTTCTAAGTGGCAAAGGAGGAGCAGGTGATGGCCTATTTATAGTGCCATTAATATATTTAAAGACAAGTGTGAAGTTCATACCTCTCCTACACATACCACTTTGTTTTCTATGAGACAGATCTCTAATTTCTTAAACCTCATTGATAGGGATGTTCTTGAGTGGGTCGGTCAGACATTCAGTGTAGTGAAGCCAAAAGCACTCTTCTCTGGCTTGTCTTTGATCTTCGTGTTTGTGTTTCTTTACACAGTTCCTTTATGTCGCATTTCACCTAATGCAAATGCTGGAGTGTTATCTTTTTAAAAAGTTTATCCAGGTTTCTTCACTCTTCCTTGATAAATCAATCATTTCCACACTTTCCTGGCATTCAGCTAAATTGTTCTAAGCCCAAAGCGGGCACTTCCCATGGCATGGCTGTAGCCTAGGGTGAAGTCCAGAGACAGCAGAATGGATCCTGTTCTTTGCTGTACCTGGTCCATGGTCTGACTACTACGTACATCCTTCCAGGTGATGAGCTGTGCAGAAACATTCCAGAATCAGGGAGGGTGACTCGGTCTGGTGGGAAGGCTACCTTCAGGTGGGGACTGGGGTTGCAGGGCCAAGTGGATAGTGGGAAATGCCTGGGAGGAACGGGCACTATTCCCCGAAACTGGACTTTAGGAAGGACTGGGGCAAATCTGAGCTCCTGACAGCTCCTTTCTATTTTGCTTTTAGTAATATCAGAAACAGCAGTTCCACTTTCCAAAAAAATGCTCTCCATCCAGTTAGTCAAAGGTGGTTGGGGGGGGAGTGTTGGAAGGTGGGACAGTGTTAACACAGAGCTGTGTTCACATGGAGTGGGGTGAGTTCATTTCTCAGACTGGCCAGAGCTTGACTTCCAAGGGATCTACCTTGGGACGTGGAAATAGCTGCTTGGGGCCGGCCCAGGTTTCCACCTTCAAGCGCTTTACTAGAATAGCTAGGCTCTGATGTAATTCAGGAGCTCGACAGATCTATTTTTGCTGCCTGAAATCTTGGACAGTTTCCTTCTTTCCCATGAATCTGCCTGATTTCGATTTCCATTAGACTTCCATCAGTTCTTGTAGTAGAAAAAGTCTGGCAATTTTCTTACCGCACATCCACAGTCTCCTAGAACATTTGGATCACAAAATGATCTTAGCCTTGTCCAAGTACATAGTGATTTTTTGCTATATGTAATTGCCATTGTATAAATTGATCTGAAATATCTATTAAAAAGAAAAAAAGTCAGCTTTATCTTGACTTACTATTTCCCTAATTGACATTATTCACAGACTGATTTCACTTAATTTCAGTCGATCATCAATCCGTGATTCTGCATCATTGATCATGAAGTGAAAGTAACCTTCAAGGTGTTTTTATTATGCTGCAAAAATAAATTCTGAGTTGAAACTTCACTGTCTTGCTTAATTGTTTTCTCTATAAAAAGCTATTAAATAGGTTTAACCCTGTATTTGTTGAGAATTATCTAGACATGAAACAAAGTAAATAGAACACGACAGCATGTCTTAAATTTTAATATTCTGTTTAATAATATGAAAAATATTTTCTGTTGCTTATTATGGAAATTTTTAATCATAGTATTGGACATGAGCAAAATAAACTTGGCTTCAGAACACGTGGAACTAATGAGACCAAACGTTAAGTTCTAAGTCTTATGACGTCACTTCATTTTCCAGAACTGGTTCTCATTACTAAATGCATGAAAACCCTTTCTCAGAGTTAAATCATCTATCATTTATTATGTCCAGAATCAACCAGCTTTTCTCTAAATTTGCCTGTCATTGGTAGGAAAGGTTGGCATAAATTTTCTAGTTTGTCAAAATACCAGCTGGCTCCAGCCAGATTTGTTTTGGCTAAAATTTATGATTACAAATAGTATTTGAACCAGAGTAGAAAAATTTTATTCCCATAAATTTTGAATAGTTACATATTTACATAGAATAGTTGAATACATTGAATAGTTCCATAAAATAGATTTTTTTTTTGTTTTTTAGTGTGATACTGAAACCTGTGTGAGTTTATCCTTTTACTAAATATATAACATGTATGATTTTGACAATATGATCTACTTTCTTGCTTTTACTGTGATTTGTTGTGCTAGGTCTTTAAAACAATAACCACAAGGACATTCCATTACAAATCAATTTTCCAGCATCAGGTATTTTTTCTAGGGGCAGATATATCAGAGTGTTTCTTTTATCTGTACATGGAGAAAGAATCTTAATTCTTCCAAAACAAACAAACCCAATCATTGTAGGGGGAAATTGGCTTTATCATTCCAGACAATATTTTGGCGCCCCCAGTGGGTGGAAGGATGTCAATGACAGAGTCAACCCTTCACCCCTTTCTTGGGTGGTGGAAGGCTGGAGAAGGCAGATAAATGTGCTTGGCATCTCCTCTAAGGTGCAGGAAATTCTGTGCGTACTTTCTCTAGTCCAGTAATTCTCAGAGTGGAGGGGAATAGTGCATGTTCGTAGGAATTGAAGTAGAGGTAGCTAAAGATGCATCTATCTATGAATTTCTATACATGCAGGAAAATCTTACTGGGCAGGTATTTGTAATTTGCAACCAGTAATTCACTAAGTCATTTTAGTTATAATTTAACTGCAGTATAAACAAAAGACAAGGAAAAACTGTAATACTCTGTTTGGAAAGTGGTTGCAATTTAGAGAGCTAGCAAGAAAGGATTTAGAAGCATCCTTTGGCTATTAAATTGCATAATTAACTATATGCACAGTAACTTGCCTTCTCCATTTAAAAAAGGCAGAGAGTGTAATGGTTAAGAGCATCCATTTGCGTTGGCATTTTGGCTTTGTCTCTTTCCGTCTCTGTGGTCTTGGGCAAATTGTTTAACCTCCTCATGCCCCAGTTTCCTTGTTTGTAAAAAGGAATGGTGCCTGCCTTGTAAGATGATGGTCCGAATTAGAACATGTGAAGCCCTTAGAACAGTGCCTGGCACAGAATGTGCCCTCGGGAACCGTTGTTGCTAGTGGGTCTTCTATAGTTGGATTTTCCTTGTTGCTGTGAAAGGACACGTGGTCACATATCATTAGAGCTGGAAGGGCACTCCTTCTACAGATGTGGAAACTGAGACCCAAAGAGGCAAGCTCATTTCTTCAAGGTCACACATTTGCAGTGCTGGACTAGGTGCGGGGTGTTTGACTTTTCCTGGGTGAACTTTCCTAGAGATCCCGGCAGGTCTACAATTCCCAGCTCTGGTCCTGGCACAGCAGCAGTTTTCCTGTTGAACTTTCATAGTGATATGAATGTCCTCAACCTTCCTTCTATGTAATGGACTTACATTTCAATTTTTTTTCTCTTTTAATGTTAAAAGAATGTGAGTAGAGATGCTTCCTCACGATTAACTCACTGAGGTAAGCATCATTTATTTTCATTAT